ACTTTTTTCTGATAACTTCATGTACTCCTTCATTTTATTTATTTGTTTGTTTATTTATTTATTTATTATTTATTTATTTATTTTAATGGGGCTTTTGGCTACTCTAACATTCCCCCCTCTGAAGAAGTAACCCGAAAATCTTTTAAGGATTAGATAAAAGCTCCCAAATACTTTAGACATTTTTGGTCTTTGGAATGGAGTATGTTGCTTCTTCCATGCTGAACAGGGACGCAGGGTGAGGCAATTGGAGTACCCCTTCAGTGGGTCTATCTAAAAGACTCCCAAATTGCCTACCTCTTATCACCAAGTAGAGGCAGGATCAGAGGCTCTCAGGCAGTCCCCTGCATTCTCAGCCCCTACACCAGAGGCAGGCCAGAACTCCACACTCTCTGGCAGTCTGCAGAGATCAGAGTTGCTACCAGGTTTTTAAATTTTTTTTTTTTTTGTCTTTTTGAGTCAGGGTCTCCCTGTAGCCCCAGCTGTCCTGGAACTCACTATGTAGACCAGGCTGGCCTTGAACTCACAGAGATCCGCCTACCTCTGCCTCCTGAGTGCTGAGATTAAAGGTGTGCGCCATCACACCCGACCTTAATTTAAAAAAAAATATTTTTATTGGGGCTGGAGAGATGGCTCAGTGGTTAGGAACACTGGCTGCTCTTACAGAGGACCCAGCACCCATATGGCAGCTAACAACTGTCTGTAACTCCAGTTCCCAGGGATCTGATGCCATCTTCTGAGCTCCACAGACACTGCAGGACATGGGTGCACTTACATACTTGCAGGCAATACAGTCATACACATAAAAATAATAAAATATTAAAATATTTTTGTTGATTCTTTGAGAATATCATACAGTGTATTTTGATCATCTTCAGAGCCCTTCTACATCCCCACCTTACTAAACCCCATGTCCTTTATGATTCTCTTTTTTTTTTTAGGGCCCTTCCAGTTTAATTTGTGTTCCCCAAATGCTCTTGGGTTTTCTCTTTTTGCCTAAAACTCCCACTTAAAATTAAAACGAAGTCCATTCTCATTTATGTAAACATTTAATTAAAGATGGAAAAATGACAAATACTTTGAGCAGACTTTGTGATACTTCGCAGAAATAAAATGGTATGTTAGAAAAACATTGATGTGTTTATAGTTGCGACTGAAGAATGCTATTCAAATTTCTCATCTTTCAAACTGAGTACTTTTAAAAATAACTTTAGCCTTTTATTTCCTTTCTGTGTGTTTGTTTTGTTTTGTTTTTGTTTATGAAACAGGGTCTCATGTATCATAGGCTGGCCTCAAACTATTTGTAGCCAAGGATGATCTTGAACTTTTGCTCCTCTTGCCTGTACTTCTGGAGTGCTGGGATTACAGGCCTGTGCTACCAGACCCAGTATAAGGTTCTGGGGATCAAATCCAGGGCTTTGTGTATGCACTCTGCTGACTGACTACAACCCTAGCCAAAGAGAGACACAGTTTCCAACTGACGACTGTGTTTTTACTTTCTGTAACCTTGATCGGTAGCTTGAGCTTTTCTTTCAGCTTCTTGCCTTAACTCACGAGAATAATGAATGGAGGTCTCAAATGACCAAGCTCAATCTTCATTTTCTCCTTCAACTGCTTCATCACTTTCACAGCCTACTGTTTTGTACTCTTTTGGGGTTTGAATGAATAGTGGCTTTCCTTCATGGCACTCTGGATAAGGATAACAGTACAGGGTTTCTTTGTTTCTGTGTTTATACATTTGCTTACCACAATGACTGCAGTGTCCTTAAACATCTGCTCTAGCTGAACGTTCGTACCTTTCTTTATCTGATACTTGAACCCCTTTAATCAAAGTCGGTGTACAGATTTCAGTTTTGTTACCTGCTTCAAAATACACTGATGTCTTCCTTTGCAAATTTGATTTTTAGAAACATTAACAAACACTGAGTGGGTCTGCAGTTTTGAGGGCTTTTTCTGCACCTCTGCCAGGTGATGACTTTGTTTTTATAAATGTTTTTATAAATTTTGAAGAGATTTCCAGACTTAAAATTTTTATTATTTTTATTTTATGTGCATGAGTGTATTGCCTGCATCTGCATAAGTGCACTTGTGTTGTGAGATGTCTGCAGAGGTCAGAAGAAGGCATTGGATCCCCTGGAACTGGAATTATATATGGTTGTTAACCACCATGTAGGTTCTGGGACTCTAACCCAGGTCCTCTCTCTGCAAGAGCAGTCAGTGCTCTTAACTGCTGAGCCATTGCTCCAGCCCCTAGATTTCCAGACTTTTTTTTATCTGTACCAGCCACATTGGTTAGATAGATCTGGTTGTTGGTGATACATGTTGATATGGTAGCTACTCAGAGACCTTGGGTGACCTGACCTGAGGGTCACCAGTCCTGGTTATTAATTAGTCTGAGGTTCGAGGACTGCACTGAGCTGTGCTGAACCATTCCTGGGTGGTGGTTCCACAATACACCCAACTGATTTACTGCACATGTGTCAGCTGTAATGCAGTTTTTGTTGTTGTTTTTTGTTGTGTTTTTTTTTTTTTTTTTAACTTTGCCTGTGGAGGCCAGAAGAAGGCAGTGGATCCCCTGGAACTGGAGTTATAGTAAATTAGCCATCATGTAAGTACTGGAAACTGAACTCAGGTCCTCTGCAGTAGCAACCAGTGCTCTTAACTGCTGAGCCATCTCTCCAGCACCCTTTTCTCCTTTTTTTTTTTCCTTTTTTTGAGACAGGGTCTCCGTGTAACCCCAGCTGGCCTGGAACTCACAGAGTTCTGCCTCCTAAGTGCTGGGACTAAAGGTGTGTGCCACCATGTCCGGCTCTTTTTCTTTTTTGAAGTGCTAGGGATTGAACCCAGAGCCTCAGACAAGTGTATTACCACTAACTAAGCTGTTATCTCCAGCCTATGACATGTTTTTTGTTTTGTTTTGTACTGAGACAAAGTTTCAGTGTAGCCCAGTGTATTAGTCAGGATTCTCTAAAGAAACAGAACCAGTAGAATGAATATGTATAGAGATTTACCAGCTTAGCTCACAGGATAGAGTCCAGGTAGTCCAACAATGGCTGCACCACACTGGAGAGGCTGAGAATCTGTAGTCACTCAGTCCACAAGGCCGGATGTCTCAGTAGTCCCAATCCGGTGCTGAAGGTCTGACAAATTCCAAAATATCAGCTAGTCTTCAGTCTACAGCAGCAAGACGAACTCACCAGCGAGAGAGAAGGCAAGCCACAAAAAGCCCTGCATTCTCCTCTGCCTTGGTCTTTTATACCGGCTGCCATCAGAAGGTAACGCCCACATTTAGGGTGTGTCTTCCGGCTTTAGATGATCCAATCAAGAAGATCTCTTTTCATTTCAGTTAATCTGAGATCAAATCAAGTTGACACCCAGGATTAGCTATCACACCCAGGCTCCCTTGGAACACAGTATGTAACTTGGGCTGGCCTCACACTTGTGGTCCCCTTGCCTCAGTGCTGGGGTTCCAGGTGTGAACAATTATGTCCACCTGTGAAACTTAATAATTTCTAGGTTTTGATTTAAAGTAAGAAACAGTTGACTCTCCCATTTACTTGAATAGGTAGAGGCCATTATAAAGTTGTTAAATGGCCCAATTTCAGTATTGTTATGTTTTAGAGAATAGGGATATCTGAGGAAAGGGAGTGAGATGAGGAAAAAGCTGGTCAGTGAAGCACTCAGAACACACACAATATTTATGAATTATGTTTGCTTTTTTATATGAGCATGATGTAGCATGCCCTCCTAAACAATTAAAATGGTGATACCAAAGATCATTGATCACAGGTCCGTGTAACAGATACACTAGTAATGAAAAGTGTGAAACATGAGAATCCCAAGGATGGGATACAGAGGTACAAAGAGTACACACACTGTTAGAGAAACTATACAAATAGACTTGCTCAGTGCAGGCTTGCCACATCCAGTTTTTTAAAATAACAGAACTCACAGGGTGTTGTGGCACACACCTTTAATTCCAGCACTTGGGAGGCAGAGGCAAGTGGCTCTCTGTGAGTTCAAGGCCAGCCTGGCCTACCTAGTGAGTTCCAGGCCAGCTGGGGCTACAGGGAGACCCTGTCTCAAAAAAAACCAAACAAAACAGAATGCACAGTACTCAAAAGTGCCGCAATATGAAGTCCAGTAAAATTGAGTTATGATTTGTGTTGGGGAAGGGGGGTTGGAAACAGTTGTTCAGTGAAACGAGGTGGTCTAGAATTAGTTGTATTTGCGTGAGGAGAGAATCAAAACTTAAAGTTAGAACAAGGTGAAAAAACATCAGAGAATATATATGTCAGGCAACTTGCGCCTGTATCATAGCTTCTTGGGAGACTGAGACAGAAGGGTCACTTGAGTGCCAGCTATGGGCAGCATAGAACTCCTAACCCCCCCCACCCCCCACCCCCAAAAAAAACAGCCCAACTACAACCCGTGGGAGGTTTAAATAGGAATTCAAGTCCAGTGTAGTGGTACATGGCTATAATACCAGCACTGAGAAAACCAAGGATTGCATGTGTGAAGGCAGCCTGGTTCATGATGAAACCCCCTTTTTAAGAAAATGTAAATGAAGGGGGGCAGGGGCACATGCCTTTAGTCCCAGCACTTGGGAGCCAGAGGCAGGCAGATCTCGAGGCCAGCCTGGTCTCCATAGAGAATTCAGGCCAGCTGTGGCGACAGGGTGATCCTGTCCCAAAAGAACAACAGAAAAAAAGAAAAAGTAAATTAAATCATGCATGCTCAGTTATATTTGTTTTCCATATTTTATGTTCATATGAAATTGTGCTTTACAATTTTGATCCCAGTTCTGATCCTAATGAATAGTCTACATGAAGTGAAGTTGAATTGGAGAGTAGGTAAGAGTTCCCTCCTTTCTTCTGAGTTACTGATTATGATTCTAAACTTTTTATAACCCAAAAGTTGAACCACAAGAGCAGATGTATATTAAAAAGTTGCCTATTTTTAGCATATTGTATAATTAACCATAAGAACTTCTTTATTTATAGTATATTCAACAGAACATAAGGGCAGATTGCTCCAATATTGACAAAATTCTTGAACCACCTGAAGGCCAAGATGAAGGAGTATGGAAGTATGAACATTTAAGGTAGGTCTTTATGAGATCTCAAAGTAACACTAACAATCTAGTAAAGGCACTACTATAAGTATCTACTAATGAGAATTGAGAATCATAAATAAAATTTACTATATAATTATAGGTCAAAAAGCCTAGGTCTACAGCTTTTGTGTCTTTTTTTTTTTTTTTTAAAGAGATGGTCTCCCTGTAACCCTGGTTGTCCTGGAACTTACTATGGAGACCAAGCTGACCTTGATGTCACAGAGATCTGCCTGCCTCTGCCTCCCAAGTGCTGGGATTAAAGGTTTGCACCACCATGCCTGACCTGATTCCAATATATTTCATATATTTTAATCTTCTTGCATCTAAACAGTAGTTTTTTGTTGTTGTTTTTTTGAGAATGTAGTGGAATTATGAGGGATTAGGTTTTCTATATTATATATTGAGTAGCTTTGGAAGCTTTTCTGTTCTTTCTGGTTTTGCTGTTCTGAGGGTTGAACTTAGGGTCTTGTACTTGTTAGGCACCCAAGTGCTCTGTCACTAAGCTTTGACTTCAGTCTTTGCAGTTGTCAATGCTGATTGATTGATTGATTGATTTTTGTTTGGTTGGGATTTTTTGGTCTTTTTGAGACAGGGTCTTCCTGTAGCCCCAGCTGGCCTGGAACTCCTTATTGCAGGAAAACACATGTAGGTATAAAACATCTAGGCCTGGTACATCCTGTGGTGAGGCAGAGGCAGATGGATCTCTGTGAGTTCAAGGCCAGCCTGGTCTATATAGCAAGTTCTAGGCCAGCTAGGGCTACAGGGAGACCCTGTCTCAAAAGATAAAAACAAACAGAAAAAGCAAAAAAAACCCTACCTATCTAATTGGAGCTGGAGAGATGGCTCAGTGATTAAGAGCACTTGCTCTTTGAAAGGACCCAGGTTGAGTTCCCAACACCCCCATGATGGCACACAACTGCCTGTAAATCCAGTTTTAGGGTCCACCATACTTTTCTGACCTCCATCTGCACCAGACATGCATGTGGTGCCACATACATGTAGGCAAAATTTTCATACACATAAAAAATAATAAACTTAAAAAAAAACTCATCTAGTCTACAAAAAATTTAGTCTTTTTGTGTAACTGCATGTAAAAATACACACATGCCCAATATTTTATGTAATTGAAACAATTGTAAATGCAGACATCTTTCATGTTTATATATACCAATAGTTTACTACCTTCCAATTGTTAATCATAATATTTCAGAAATTTTCTCTTAAATATATGGTTTATGTGAACATCTTTGTAACATTTCTGTTTGCAGTTCTGATAATTTCATCATTATAATAGATTCTCAGAAGACTTAGTCAAAAAGTATATGTATCCCAAGAGTCTTGGCAAAATTTCCAAGCTACTTTCCAGAAAATTCGGCAAATTCCTAGTACATAAGAGGCAGTGAGCTTGCCAGACTCACGAAATAAATAAGAAACTGAACAAAACTTGGAGAATAAATGTGATTTTTGCATTTTCAGGCAATTCTGTCTTGAATTAAATGGACTTGCTGTCAAGCTTCAGGTAATATTTTCTTTATGTTAAATCTATAATTCAGAGTTATGTTTTTCTTTTTGATAGTTTTATATGCTTAGATTTACCCAAAGTTTCTAAATATTTTTTCTTATATTTTACATAGAAATATAGTAACCTAGATGAAACCTTTTCATTATTAATTCATATATTATAAAATATAATCATTTTTAACAGAGTGAATGCCATCCAGATACATGTACTCAGATGACAGCGACTGAACAATGGATTTTTCTTTGTGCAGCTCATAAAACTCCGAAAGAGGTGAGGATTAATGAATTAGAATGCCTAGTAGAATCATGATGATCTGACCTCACAGAAACACTGGGAGAGGAAGTCTTAGAGTTTTAAATATTTTTATTTTATGTGTATGAATGTATTGCCTGCATGTATGTAAATGCACCGGTGTCATGCAGTGCTTGAGGAGATCAGAAGAGGGCATCAGAGCCTCTGGAACTGGAGTCTCGGGCAGTTGTTGGCCGCCATGTGGGTGCTGGGAATTGAACCCTGGTTCTCTGCAAGAGCAGTCATCGCTCTCAACCAGTGAGCCATCTCTCCAGCCTGTTGAAGAGTTTTTAATTCACTGTTCCTTTTGCTATTTGACTCAAGTTTGTTGCTGCAGAGCAACCACAGTGCTGCTGTAATAATTCTTAGATTTCTTATAATTTGGCAATTTCATGGGCTAGAACTCATTTTGATTCATGGTGGTCTCAAAGTAATACATTTCACATTGTGCAGATATCATGTGAATGGTAGGATATACATGTTTAGACTTTTCTTCATTAATTTCTTTTGCTAGGAAGAACTGTTTATTACTCATTAATCTACTGAGTTGAAATGTTTAATATTCAGTTTCTGTCACAATAAGATTGTAGACAGTAAAAAAATATTTATTGTAAATTTCATTTTTAAACAAAAATTTATTTATTTTGAGAGAGGGTCTCATGGTGTAGCCCTAACTGGCCTAGAACTCACTCTGTAGACGAGGCTGACCTTGAACTCACAGAGATCTACCCACCTCTGCCTTCTGTGTGTTAGGATTAAAGGCATGTGCCACCACGTCTGGCAAGATTTATTTCATTTTTTATTATGTGCCTATGTGTGTATATGTGTATGTGCTGGTGCCAGTGGAATCTAGAAAAGAGTGTTGGATTGCCTATAGCTGGAGTTACAGGGTACTGGGAACTGAACTAAGGTTTTCTGCAGGAGCAGTACACGCTCTTAACTGCTGATCCATCTTTCTGGCCCATTATACTTTTTTTTTAAATTGAATTTTTATATATTTCATACAAAACATCTTAATCTTTATACCTCCTTCCCCATTTTTAATTATAATTCCTTCATATCTTCTGATAGCTAGTATATATTCACTTTTTCTTTGTTTTCTAAAAAATGTCTTCTACAACTTTTTTGTTTAAACTATGAATTAAATTTGCTATCATCGTAATGCCTTTTAAATTACTTTCTTGTTTCTTTGAGGCAGGGTCTCATGTAGCCTAGGCTGGTCTCAAACTTGTTATGTAGCCAAGGATGACCTTATGATTCTTCTGCCTCTAACTCTTAAGTGCTAGAATTACAAGAATACACTAGTGTGCCAGAGATCAAACCCATGGCCTCATCCATGTTAGGCAAACACTGTACCAACTGACCCACATCCCCAGCCCAAATAATACTCTTCCCTTGGTACTCATTGAGTCTCTCCAACAGGTCAGACCAATTCTATAGAATTAGAGACTTTCAAATGGTCATTTATTGACAGAACTTTAAGGCTTAGAGACAACTGACTGTAGTTGCAAAATCACTATTTGTTGTTCTTTTGCTTGAAAAAGGATAATATCTCCAAAATGAGTATCTGGTACCTAAGTAAAATGGTACTTAATTTGAAAGACCAGTTTTATTTAGGGTGTTGTGCTTTTTGTGTTAATAAATTGAAGTAGAATTAAGATTCAATACCTCTGTATTTGGGAAAATCCACATAGCATTTCATTAATAGTTCAGTGAAACTACTTACACAGTGAGTGATATAATGCCTGCAGTTAGAACTCAGTTAAGATGGTTGAATCAGAGCTGGACATGGTGGTTCACACCTGTAATCCAAACATTTTGGAGTCTGAAGGACTGAAGCAGATTTCTGCAAGTTCAAGGTAAGCCTAGGTTACATAGTGAGATCTATGGAAGGAAGGGAGAAAGTGTTGGTTGGTTTCATTGAGGGACAGTTAAACAACTCCATACAACTTGGCCCAAAGATTTTAATTAGAAGAGCTAAAAAATTTAAATTCTTAGAAAAAAACATAGATATCAATTTTGATGACTTTGGAATTGGCAGTGGTTTCTTAGCTGTGACACCAATAGCTTAAGCAACTAGAAGAAAATATAGGTAAATTGAAATTTACCAAAATTTAAAGATTTTGTTTCAGAAGACACAGTCAAGGAAGTAAGACAAACTATAAATGGGAGGAAATGTTTTTGGATATTTCTTGTTAAAGGTCTAATGTTCAGAGTACATTAAAACTTAAAGGCCAGGAATGGCAGCCCACATCTATAATCCTAGCACTTTGGCTGAGACAGGCCTGGACCAGTCTAGAGAGACCCTGAAAAACAAGAACAACAAAAGGAAGTTGATTAGTCATTGCTTAAGAATTGGAAGAGTAGATCTCTTTGCTTCCTGGGCTGCACAGCCTTCAGTGTCCTGGTACCAGCACCTTCCCTGGGTAAGTCCAGGCGCCCAGCTGCGCCTTGACTCCCCCAGCCTCTTTCACCCTCCCGGCGCCCCAACCCCACCCGCCCCCGAGTCTCTCCTCCTAGGCTGAGTACAGGCCCATTTCTTGTCTGGGCACCCCAGACACCGGGACTAACCTCTCAGTCCAGAGCCGCTACTGCTTCCTGATCCTTTGCATCTGGACCCAACCCAGTTCCTCCCTGTGGGCCCCAGGAACCCTGTCTCGCCCTCACCTCCCTTACTTCCTGGGCTGCACAGCCTTCCATGTCCTAGTCCAGCACCTTCCCTGGGTAAGTCCAGTGCCCACTGCCTTGACTCCCCCAGCCACTTTCACCCTCCCAGCTCCCCTGCCAAGTCTTTCCTCCTAGACTAGGTACAGGCCCATTTCTTGTCTTGGCACCCCAGACACCTGGGCCAACCTCTCGGCCCAGAGCCACCACTGCTTCCTGATACTCTGCATCCAGACCAACCCCCAGCCTCTTTCACCATCCCACCTCTTCCCGCGAGTCTCTCCTCCTAGGCTGGGTACAGGCCCATTTCTTGTCTTGGTACCCCAGACACCGGCGTTAGCCTCTCCAACCAGGGCCACCACTGCTTCCTGATCTTTGCATAGGGATCAACCCATTTCCTCCCTGCGGCCCCCGGGAACCCTAGGCCTGGTCCTGCCCTCACCTCCCTTTATTTCCCTGGGTGGTACAGCCACCAGCTTCCTGAGACCAGCATCTATCCTGGACCTTTCTTCCAGGCCATCCCAGCCTCCAAATTCCTGAGGGCAGCATCTTTCCTGGAGGGACCCAGACCTTAAGAGAAAGCCTGAGATCATTTGGGCCTCTGTGGGAACTCCTGAAGACAAAAGCAATTAGGCCACTCCAAAAATCAAAAGAGAGAACCTGAAGCCTAGACCAACCAGCTTTTCATGCCCAACAAGTAAACCACAAAGGCACATAAAGTTTACAAAAAGAAGCAGATCTAAACTCAACAAAGGAAGGCTTGCGTCTCACAAGAATCAGAAACTACGAAGGAAATTCACATGTCAAAGTCACAAAGTAAAAACAATAACATGAAAAACGAAAATAGTATATCCCCACCAAGCACCAGTAGTCCTCTAGAGGAGTACAATGAGAACCCCCTAGAGATAATGTAGGACATGGAACTCAAAAGGACAGCTAAAAACATAATAAAAGAATTCAGTGAATTTAAAGAACACACAAAGAAATCAAAGAACTGAAGGGATAGGGATGAATTTCTGAATGAATTCAGAAACGAGTTAGAAATATTGAAGACTACTTAGGTTGAAATGAAGAATGAAGTGAAACAATCAATAAGCCAATTAGAAATGACAGAAGAAAGCCTAACCAATAGGATGAATGAAATAGAAACAGAATATCAAGACTAGAAAATAAAGTGGATGAATTAGACCACTCTAGCAAAGATTATGAAAAATTAAAAAAAAAACCATAAGGGAATATGCAGAAACTGTGTGACACCATAAAAAAAAAACAAACATGAATCATAGGCATACAGGAAGGAGAAGAATCTCAAGATAATGGTATGGAACAGACCTTCAGGATTACAGAAGAAAATTTCCCAAAATTAAAAAAAGACCCCTACAAATACAAGAAGCATATAGAACACCAGACAGGACCAGAAAAGAAACTCTCCACGGCACATCATAGTAAAAACACTACATGTTGAGAACAAAGAGACAATACTGAAAGCTGCAAAAGAAAACCAACATCACATATAAAGGAAAACCCATCAGGATTACAGCTGACTTTTCAGTGCAGACTGTGAAAGCCAGAAGAGCCTGGACCAATGTATTGCCAGCTCTAAATGACCACACATGCCAACCCAGATTACTTTACCCAGCCAAAATGTCTATCATAGTTGAAGGGGAAAGAAAAGTCTTCCATAACATAAATAGGCTGAAAGAATTCATATCCATGAAACCAGCCCTTCAGAGAGTTCTTGAAGCAATACAAAGTGCTGAAGAAAAGAACGACTATACACAAGGGGTGACGGAAAGAAATTCAATGAAGGTATAACTGTAGAAATACACAGCTATATCAAGAATGTGAGCAGAAATAAAAATGACAGGGTTCAATACACATCTTTCATTAATAACTTTTATCAGTGGACTGAACTCCCCAGTCAAAAGACACAGACTATGTGAATGGATAAAGGATGGAAAAAAATATACCAAGCAAATGGTACTAAGAAAAAAGCAAGCGTTGCAATTCTAATATCTGACAAAATAGATTTTAAACAAAAACTAAACAGAAGAGATAAGGCCACTTCATTCTGATCAAAGGAACAATAAACCAAGAAGATATTACAATCATGAACATATATTCACCAAACTCTGGTGCACCCAACTTCATAAAAACAGTACTATAGGACTTTAAGACCCAGAGTAATCCCAACTCATTAACAGGAGGGGACTTCAATACCCCACTGTCTCCATTAGATAGGCCAACAGGACAGATAATTCAGACAGAGAGACATCTGAATTAAACAATACCATATATCAAATGGACCCAACAGA